GATCTTACCAACTTAGAGATGGCCGCGATCTTTATTGCCGACTTCACCGACCAGTTAACCAGGCATCTACAAGCTCAAAACACTGCTGAATTATGTTACCAGCCGATCGTCTATGAAACATTCGACTTTCTTCTGGCCTAGTAATAAGAAATCTGAAAACCACGTCGTGACAGCCTTGTAATTCGGTATCGACTTGTTCGGGCATTCGCTAGAGTCACGCCAAATTATAATGGAATGTAAACGAGATACTCTCATTCCAGTCTTTAAAGGAGGAGACAAGAACGAATCAGCTTGTTACAGACTAACCCCATAACTACTAGTATTAACGAAGGTAATGGAAGGATTGGTAAATGAATGCATGAGGGAGCCCATGGATAGGAAAAACATCTTCCATGAAGCCTGGCACGGGTTTAAGAAATGTAGGTCATGCACTATCAATCTTCTCAGAGCACAGGATATCCGGAAAACCTGCTGTGACCAAAAGGTTTATGAGTGATGTTTTATTATTCAAAGCCATATGGTCATCTAAATAACCTCAAGTTTCTCTGTTTTAGTCCATGTTCAGGTATGATGTACCTTTCAGTCGATGCCGTTTCTTCTTGAATCATCTTCACAGTAAGCTTTTCGAGGAATCAGTTGAAGAGGACCTGAAATTATCTATTAAGCAGAATACCTTTCCTAAAATTTGATTTTCAAAGTGAACGTTTGGAGACGATTTCGTGTCAGCATCCAGTTTATTGCAAGTTAGACCTAATGCAGATAATTTGTATGGTTTCGCGATTCGATTGTTCAACTAGAGATAAAAATGTCTACCGCAAAGCCTAAAACAATTGTCATATCAGCAATAAAGTAAATATCTTTAGATTGACGTGGATAAATATATATACCTTCATGCATCTACTAGAGAAATAGGGGAAACATCATATATGAAATGTAATGAGTTATGAGTAGGTTAACTGATCCATTGAATTCAACTAGGAAAGTTTTTTTAGTATTAAATATCTCAGTTATACCTTTGCACATCTAGAAGGCCACCTTAATAAGTGAATTATCTATTGATGTATTTTGTTTGCTTCCTTCATTTTTAAACAACTTGTGGGGAAATTTCCAGTAAATGAAGAACCAAATCAAATCGTCAACATCCGAAAGTTTCATTCAAATCATATTCAACGGAAATTCTTCACTGAAGTAATAAATTTTTCTGGTGCTTCCAGACTCCTAGAATTAAAACCCAACATATACTCAATCACTGTGATAAAAAAATCAACCAATGAGATTAAGGAAACGATGAAAATGCACGTACGAACAGTGAAGTCGCGTTCTTAGCTATTAAAAACGTACCGATGTCCCGTAGTTTGATCGCCACTTCAAAGAATCCGTTCTAAGCTTTTTTGTATTTTCCATAATTTATGAACGACCTTCAGTGTTGTCATGATACTGTGAAAAAGAAAATTAAAACGAAGAAATTACTAATCATTTGAATGATGGGTGACTTAAAATGGCAGACATTTGTTGAAGTCCAGCCCCAGAATTTGTATTGCTGTTATTTATTATAGAGACCGGGTGAACACATTTCAAGTTTTGTGCTACCGCGCAATGGCTGAATGTAAGTCTGGTCAAATCTGATGAGATCAATCAGTAAAATGCCCTGACTACACAAACTACTTGCGTCGAGTATACGGTCTCCAGGGAGAAAGTACTATTCATAAAAACGAGGTAGGCGGAATTTCGCTGATTTTTTGATGTTATGTTCCTATGAAGCCTTTCAGAGCTATCCTTAATTGAATTGCTCGTAATTTCTTTCGTAGACTAGCTACTTGCTTTCATATCTGTCCGTAGCTATTAAAAAAGCGTGCAGAACCTTTTAAATTTTTCATTTCTCAGATTCCAAGGTTCGTTGTTCAGCGTAATATATCAAACCATGATTTTGTAATTAGCATGTTTAGAGAACAAATTCTATGGTGATATGTTTACTTCATCTATGTATCTGGCGTACCAATTCAAAAAGTAATGGTTCAGTATTTCGCTGTCAAGCCTCGGAATAGTGGTAAATTAGAATGTTGAAGAGATAGATTTTTGAATTTCCTCAAATGCCCTTTCACAGCATATTTGAATTCACATTTATCTCTGCAAAATGTATATTTCGTACAACTTTATTTTTCAGTATATTGGATTATTGTTAGCTTACAACTAACAGTACAGTTAAAGCCAACAAACTGACTCCTGTGGTTTATCTTTCACACGTTAGTATTTCGTAGGCAGTAACAATCTGTACAGCTATTCTTCTTATTTGCCTTACTGAATAATACGTGTTTGTTTTGTCAGATACAAAAAAGAGATCCCAATTCGATACATGGCGAAATGGTTGAATCATCTGATTATACTAAGGAGTCATTTGAGTTGCTTAAACGGAAGTTAAGTAAATACTTAGAAGCTGTGGATAAATGTTGTAAGTTGAGAGTTTGTATAGTAAGTGCCTTTACAGTGGCAAGTGCAGCTGAAGAGTCTTTATTCTTTGATTTCCATGAAAAGCCGCTGTTGAACATTCACAAAAAGTCAATGTAGACAAAACCTTCAGATTTTATGTGGTTTAACTATTTGCTGTGGACTACATTTTATGAGATAGTTTGCATAACTAAGAACGTAGATTGAACTATAAACTACAAATAAAAGTTTCCTAGTCTAAAATTGTTTTCATTAATTTAGTTTGTGCATTTTCCAATTCTATAAATCTGGTGTTTTGAACTCTCAGTATGCACATTTCTATTTTTCAAAATTATGACTTGATACGAAGCCTTTATCCTGATGTGATGGGTATGCTCACGTGTCTTAGTAATCCAACGGAGCTATATTTACCGCATCTTGATGTCAACTGGGATCATCTAGTCAGTCATAATTAACATATAGCTTGTTGCAAAAGTATATTGTCTCAAGTTTCCATACCACGTGACCGCACCGAGATGAAGGTAGTATGATAAATAGTGACGTTGCAAGGCTGAACACAATTACTGTTATTTTAGCAGTAGTTGCTCTGTAATGAAATTTAGAAACATTCTGGAGAGGAGCATTTATAAGAAATTGACTGATCTTGTTATGGATATTACCGTCATCAGTCTATTTGTGACTGAATTCTCACTGAAAACATCTCATTTCCAGTAGTAGTGTACTATCTCACCTGGTGAATGTTACGTTCACTCTGGGGTGGAAACTCCAAGCCCGGATAAACGTTTTACCATTACTTTCACAACAATTTTTTTAAAACGAGAGCAGTCACCTGATTTACGCCATAAGTTTTTATTAATATCTAGTTTTATTAATAGTGGTTGATTTATTCGCTACTCAGCATTCTAGTAGGTTGTCATGAAGCTTTTATGTAAGATCGTTTGTATCATGTATCAAGGTTTAATCTTATCGTTTGTTCGAATGTAACACTACCATTATGGAGTAGTAATTTATTTTCCACTTCTCTGTAACTGCATCTAATTATGTATGACTATAAGGTGCTCAACAACTCCAAAAATTTTCAACTGAGTTATCTCTTGACATCCTTATTCATACTATCTAATGAATTAGGTTGCTGTATGTATGATACTCGCAATCCTAGTATCTGATCCCTGTAGATACATCATAATTAAAGTTTGAGAAGTTTTGGTCAAATATATTGGTAGGGTTTCTAACGTCCTATCTTTAAACGTATTCAGAATTTAGAAATGTCTAAATAAAGTACACATTTATGGGTTATAAAAAACGTGGGCATTTGGTAATTGACATTATTGATGAAAATTTGTATTTTTTTAATGAGCAAAAGAACGAAATTTCGTTTTATTGTACGTGTAACAATTCTCAAGCTTGCTTACAAATTAAGACTTGAAGCAAAATATTGAAGAGTTATTTTTACCAGTAGTTACCTGTTCTAATAATAACACATAAATACTGTTGGGGAATTGTAGTGTTTCTGTTATTGATAAGATATTTAAATATGTTTTATAATTAGTTTGTAGATATAAACTTTGAACTGTAGCAAGGGTGATAAATATCTAGTTTCTAAAGTAGATATGAATTAGGTTAGAGCTGTTCTGTCTTATAGAAGTTGGAGAAGTGTCTTTGTGAGGATTAGCTACAAGCGTAAAATCGATTCCAGAGTATGAAATAATGTCAAATTCTTATAAAAACAAACATGTAAGTAAGGTTGGTGTAAAAAACGTACTCTGTGTAGTCTTGTTTACGAATATAAAGTTCTAGTTGTATTTCTTACATAAAATCAAATGTTTTAACCATTAAAATTCTAATCTTTCAACTGTTGAATACCGTTCTTGCGTGGTCATTTTTAAGGAAAATATGCATTGTATTTTAGCTATTTACCACAGTAATATTCCATAGCAATAACATAATCAGGCTGCTTCATTTAAGCGTGCGTGGTTAGTGACAAAAATAGACAGTATGTACTGTCAGGTGAGTGAAGTTGCCCAAGGTTCATCCCCGTTATTGCTTCATAATAAAGCATTTGTACATATAAACATCTAAATCCCCACAATTCAGCCGTAGATTCAGTGTTGAGGTTTGGCGCATTATTGTCAGAACTGAAATGGTGCATCGATGACAGTAAATACTTGTTTTACCATAGTCGCACATTATGGGAAACTGTGACACTTGGAGTGGAAATTAATCTTTGGTTGTGTGATTGTTGAAAATATCACCACTAATTAGAAACGGCAAGCCTAAATCTAAAAGTTAGCCTGTCTATCCAGCCACTACACACCGCTGACAAATTATCTTTTTATTTTCTGCTGGCTATGTTTCATGAATTACAACTTACTAGTGATCAGCTCATAGGTTAGATCTCTCGCAGGCTTGTTGATTTTTAGCATATCTCCTACAACTTTGAAAGGATTTTTACTTTTTATTCACATAGATTTGATTATTTACATTTTTTCGTATTTAATTGAAATCTATGACTTTTTGTTTTAGATTTTCGTATTTTTAATGAATAATACAATCGAATGAAAATTGAAAATACAACTGAAAATAGTGAGTTGTTATAAGCTTCGCTACTATCTTCTTATTGATTGTCTTCCTAGCCTTTTGTAGTTTCTTCTTTCATCATACTTTTGTGGTGACTTTGACTTACTTCCCAAGTCACTAGACTAATGCTTTCTACAATGGTTATTCTATATTGAAAAAACATACGCAAGATAGAGATGTTTTACTGGATTTTAAGTCCACATGGCAACGAATGACAAATATGTGTATGGTCTGTGGGTTTTCCACGCAAATAGTCATGCCCTACCTTGACATGTGATGTTTACTAGTGTAGAAGTAGGTTGGGAAAAGGCTGTAGACAGGCAAACCAAGACATAGAATCAGTCCTTGAGTTGATCCGAGCCTTGTTTATAATCGTAGATTATCTAGTAAATGTTTGTATGATAATTTCGAGGTGTATAATTATTGTATATATTCATACGCTAAAACTTGTTTCAAATGGTATAATATTACTTTATTTCAGTTTTAAAGGTATTATTAACTTTTAGGATAGTGGAACTATATTTTGAAATGTAATCAGTCAATTAATCTGTTGCAACGTAGAATTTAATGCGTATGAGCATTAGTCTGAGTTGCCATACCACATTGGCACAAAGAGATGAAATTGTCAGGCCAAATCCCATGTGGTAGAGGTTGTAACATTATTTTTGGTAATGGAAAAGAATAAGGATTGAAGATGATAGTCAAGAAAATTTAAATTATTGAAATAAAAAGTATCCTAATGAATGGAAAAGCTTAAAATCTAGTGAAAGACAAAGAATGAATGCACCTGCACCATTGCAAGCGATTTCTAACTATGTGATTCATAGTCTTGAACCCTCGGATACAATGTAACTGATTACTGTATATTAGTTTCTCTAATTTCCATGTTAAACATAGTTTTATGTATTCCTCATTTTACTTATACTGCCTTATTATGTATTGCTTAATTTTCCCCTTCAGATGTAGAGCTACTACTTCAATGTAGATGGCGTAATTGTTATCAATCTTTTCCCAATTATAATCGTTTACATGTACACTTACTTGAATGTCATTTGAATAATGTACCTGAGTTTGTCTGTTTATGGGATTCTTGCCGAAACAATATATTTCAAGAAAACAACCAGTTGTTGCGCCATACACTTCTACATACATTTTTTGAAGATTGCATAGTAAATACTACTAAACTTCTTAAAGCTCACTATAAGGCATGGAGTTTTGTATGTTGTGGAATAAGTTGTCAAAAACCGGCATATCTTCAACGATCAACTGAAAAATTCTTATGGAATCCTATAATTTTGAGCAGAGGCTTTGACTGTCAATGGAAAGACTGTGACTACACGTAATTTGTCCGATTTTTCTACTCTATATTAATTCTTTTTTTTCACAGATGAAATTACGAACTGATCTTAGATGGACCTATATTGAAAATCTGGAAGCACTTAAGGGTGACTGTGTTAGTATGAGACTTCTGCAGTGCACATCTACGATCCTGCACTAGTGA